GTCGAACAGCAGTTTGTTTTGGTTTAATGCTGGTGCTCAAGTGCGGCATCTACTGGATCAAAAAGTCACACATTCTTGCTTCAAGAAAAGTGCTTGAGCTCAAAAAACATGATTTAATTTATTTCAATATATTCACATAACATTTTTAATTTTTAATGTGTCTACTACTGGTAGTACATAACTATTTCCAGGCCTCCCTTGCTTTTACCCAGGTCGACTGACTCTTTCAGAAACTGTTCGAATCATCTCATATTCTTGAGCAGTATTGTCTTGACCTGTTGTAGTTTCAGGTGCATCCCATTCAGAATCAAGGTCTTCACTTTTATGGCGTTATGCAGATATGTATGGAGCTATCATTGTGGCAAAACTATTTGAATATGCACACACAGATCCACAAATGCATAAAAAGATCCACAAATGCGTAAACTAATCTGCAAATATGTTGACCAATATTTACTTATTTATTAATGGCAATGAAAATACACACAAATGATCGCTTACAACTGAGGCGGGCCTCTCCATTGGCTGTCATTTTACACGTGACTTTTGCAACACTCCTGCCGTGCAAGATCCACAAATGCATACACATATCTTCAAATGAGTGTCTGACGATCTGCAAACACATTAGTGGGGTTTGTTGCCCTGAGCTCAGGCTCACAGGATAGGCTGCCATGCCTTTAATAAATAAGTAATATTTCAAAATTGGTCTACATATTTGCAGATTTGTTTACGCATTTGTGGATCTGTGTACACATATTCAAATAGTTTTGCCACAATAATAGCTCCATAGATATGGTCCATGATGTGAAACGCCATGCACAGGAACAGGAAGTTAAAATCTGAGCACATGTAGTTGGGGATTAAAGCTCACAACACACCTCCTACAGGTTTCAGCTATTAAAAGCAGGGCAACCCCTGCAGGATTAAGTCTCTCGCTCGCCAGAAAAGCTGCGTGTCCCAGCATAAACTGGGAGACTGAGCTGTTGTGTCACACGAGAAGTGAAACGTAGCAGTTCAGGGGGCCCTGACTCAGCTCTCTGGTTGGTTAGCTTTTCTCTTTTGTTTGCCTGAAGTGGGAGATAACCCATGCAGTGAACCTAAACAGAAATATAAGGCAGATAAAAGTGTGACTCTGTGTTTTTGACTGTGCAGGAAGGAAACACACGGAGAGATGAAGCAGAAAAGAGGAAAGTTGGTGGGGGAGTGTTTGTGAAAGCACATCACAGGCGGTCTGGTGACTCTCTGGAAAGCCTCTACAGCCTCAACAGTGGACAAAGCTCCTCAAGTAAGCACCTGTGGGCACAGAGCCATGATGCAATCCTCTCTTAAGGATCTCGTACTCCCCTTAAGATGCATTTATTTATAAAGCTGAACTTACTATCAAGAACGGAATCCACTACTCAGACTTAAGCTGCCTTGTTACTGACATCAGAAGAACTACTTTTATATTCTACTCTAATGCTCTTTGTTTGTTTGCAACAAAAAAACACCAAGACAAATTCCTTGTATGTGTGAATGCAATAAATGTGGCTGTGATTGTGAGAAATTGATTCCATCTGTTAGTTGTGGGGTTATCGAGCCCTCTTGTTTGTCTGCTCTTCGTCAGGCGGAGTCACCAGTGGGTCCGGCTGGTCCAGTAACAGAGACAGTCTGAGGCTGGACGATGATCTGTTGTCCTCTAGACACTTCTGTGGAAGAGCAAGAGTCCACACTGACTTTGTGCCAAGTCCATACGACACTGAATCCCTCAAGCTCAAGGTAAACATTTGGTTCACCTTTAGAAACAAAAAAGAGACTTCTAAGCGTGCATGTGTAGACAAATTGTCCGTTCTCTGAATTACAAAGACACAGATCAGCTTAAGCTGAATATAACCGGCCATCCAGGTCCACTGGATGGCGAGTGTGCATGACACTCTCTCACTCTAACACAATGCAATAAATGTCTGCTTACACTCACATCCTTCATCTTATAGCAGGCCACAGGGGGTTACACTACTGTCTTCATAACTTTTCTAAACACAAAAGGTGTGGCACTTCAAAGACTGTCAATTAACTTGCAAAAAGAAAAAACTAGCGCAAATGGTGAAGGATACTGATGACTGGGAGTGAGAACATACTCTGATTGAAATGTCAAGTTAAGCCATTGTAACCTTCCCAAATGAAAAGATTTTACAGCCAAATCTGGAACACCCTGTCTCTCTTCTCTGAGTATTTTTGTCCCTGTCAGATAATCTTAATTAATCTCTACTACACTCTCATTCAGGTGGGAGATGTGATTGACATCTTTGCCAAACCCCCCATGGGAATATGGACAGGGATGCTGAACGGCAAATTGGGCAATTTCAAGTTCATTTATGTAGATGAGCTCGCAGAGGAGAGACCCGATTCCCGTGAGGAGACACAAACCCAAAGAGAGAGCCAGAAATCCACCGTCCAGGAAGTGTTAAGGCGTCTCAGCTTGGAGGTAAGTTGTTTTATTATTTATGGATTTGACTGATTTTAATGTGGCAAGAATCATCTTCCGTACAGGAGGGTGTTTTCTCCTCTTCTACAGTGTAAATGTTTTTTTTTTTCTACTCTTGCTTCTCCAGGAGTACACGTCCTCTCTGCAGCTGAACGGGTACCAAACAGTGGATGACTTGATGAGGCTGAGGGAGCATCACCTGACGGAGCTGAATGTGACTGATCCAGAGCACCGGCATCGTCTTCTCACTGCTGTCGACTCCCTGCAGCAAATGTACTGTGAGTAATGGGAAAGGCACAAAAGGGTCATCCAAGGACAGCAGCATAGTGCACTTTTTTTTGGATATGATAAGACCTTAAAAAATATTTGCTGAGATGTTTACATTGAGAAAGGAAAGGGGAAGAGTGACATTGCACCTCAAGCAGATAAGACTTGAAGGGTAACAGGGCCACGGCTAAAGAGGTTAAGGATAACAGGATAACCTCAAAGAGCATTTCTGAGAATAGAACGGGACACACAAGGACATGAGGGGCAGACAGATTGGCTGTTGAGCTGTAATGCACATGAATAATGGCTGTAAAGGATTACTTACTGCTCATCCATTCTGCTCTATGACAGTACGTCCAACCAGCCGTCTCCTCTGCTTTACAGCTGATTGGCAGCCGAAGAGCGAGGCCAATCAGGAGGCAGAGACCCCCGTCGAGAACATGAAGGCAGAAGTGAGCAGCGGCCCCAGAGACTCCGGCTGCCACATGTCGTCTGACAGTCCCGAAAACAGCACAGAGGACGCACACCTTCACTTCTTCCTTCAGTACCCTCTGCCGGCTGAGACGGCAGCTTCATGAGCATCACCCATTCTTTTACAACCCATTCTTTACCACGCCTGCTTTGAGGTGATTTTTCAGACGAACGCTGTTTTTTTAAATGACTTGCAACAGTGTAACTTCCAATTATGTACAAAGAATGCCCTTTCCGAGCCTTTTCCAATGTACATCCTCCACTTCAAGATGTCATATGTCTGAATAAAAGATTTTAAGAAACAGTTTTTCTTTTTCCTAATTCCATTTTTCAAGTAACTTTATTTCAAAGAAACTTCTTAAAGCCAGAACTCTAAGTTCACCATTTTATAGAAAAAAAAACATGTGATTTAAGTAACCCTCATGTTCTACTGTAGCTGAAGCTCTTTAAAGCTCCTGTAACAAGTTTTGAACTGGTTATGAAACAAACTGAAATTAATACAGATGTCAGTTTATGAGCTACAAAAGCAAACGAGACCATCAGCAACAAGATTAATCATTTACGACTTACAAACACTAATATATGAACACAACAAATGTATCCAAGACAGTGGTGTCCAGATGGGGTCGCCAAAATGGGCAGAACCAGAACTTCCTCTAAGGAGCTTTAAAGGTCCTGTATTAGTTCACAAATATAATTTTACAGTTTAAATAAGTCTCAGAGCTCCTCAAAACATGTGTGTGAAGTTTCTTGTTCTAAATCCACTCTGATCCTGTATTTGATCATGTCTATAAACCCCTCTATTTCAGCCCTGCTCAGAACAGGCTGTTCCTGTGTCTGTACCTTTAAATGTAAATGAGCTGTGTCTGACCACGCCCCCTCTCTGGAAGGGATTGGGTGGCTCTGGCTTTCTTGCTCCATGTCCTATTGTTTACAGTGAGAAGGCAGACTCAGAGGGCAGAACCCTAACCCTAACCCTTCATCTTAATGTTTCACTCAGAGGTTCAAACATTTTTTCTTTAAATGAACCCCTTCTGGTCCAATTGCTAGCCCAGCCACCACATAGGGGGAAGAGAGATGGACCCGCCCACTCAGGGAAGATGAATCTCAAGGCATAAAAACAGGGCTTCGTTGCGAATACGACTGAAGAAGAACCGTTAGATAGGGGGGCGTGTCCAGACTTTTCTGAATGGGGTGGCCCTACTGTTGCACTGACTTATGCAAAGGGTGGCATAAAGTTTGTGTCCACACAAAAATTTATACTTTTTATTTATTTACCCTTTCTAGCTCTATTCATCATGTATGCTTTAAAGTAACCAGAAAATTGCAATATATTCTTAGGTTTGTTCAGACAAAAGAAATCAACTACCAGCCTGTTCCAACACTGCCCAAATACTTGATTTGAACCTAAGCCCTGCCCCCGAAAGTCAAAAAGCCAACCAATCAACCGCCTGGGGTGGCCAATCATATTACAAGGGGGGCCCATGCCACCCCTCTGGACATGCCCCAGCCGACAGACAAAACCAAAGAGGTCTAAGAGTTTCTATGACCTAAAAAGACAAACGTATAATAACCGAATCAACTTTGACAATCATATCAAGACTTGAATTGACGTCAGAATCATAGGCTCCTCGGGATCGCTAGTGGACGGCCTGCCTGAACAACACTCCAGATTTTGCTCAGTTTTGTGACCTGCTTTAGTTATTTCTGTAATGTTTTTTTAGATATGACCTTTACCTTTAACTCATTTCAGAATCATTTGTTAAAACTGTTCCTTTAAAAGAAAACGTGCACGCTGTTCAAAGAGAGAACTTTTATTAGACAGTGGACATGTCTGCAGCTAAAAGATAAGATGTCAATTGAAATGTTTATTCCTATATACTATATATTATATATAATAAACCCAAAGGGGGAAATATGTCCATGATTAAACAAAAAGGCAGCCATGTGAACGTTGAAACAGCGTCTTTAAATCTACATAATAAATCAGTCATGACAGAAAAGAGGCAGAGACAAAGATTAAAACCACAACATGACGACCAGTACTCTTAAATCCCCCAATTCCCCCCCTCCCCCCACACACAAATACACACAGGAAACAGCAATAAAATTAGTTTTTACATTTGCCCTTATCTTTGTCACACCAATAAGAAAAAAAGACAGTCATATATATTATTAATGCAAAAAACATATAAATGATACGTCCAAATCCTTTAAAATCCTCCCAGATCGAAAACAAGAAATAAAAACAGCTCTTATTTACATGATGATACAGAACACCACACAGCTGATATCATCTGTTGTGAAACGACAGTGACCTACAAGAAAAATACAAAAAATTACACTTTTTACTCTTTCAAACTTATTATTTTCATTTCATAAAACTGATTTTTTTCCCTCCTTTTTTTATTTGTAAAATGATGTTTTTAAATTCTGATTCAAAACATGCTTCAATAACAGAAATATACATTTTGCCTCGACAATGAATCAGGTTTATTATCTAACAAATCCTGTTTTATAGACTGTTGACACTGACAGGTCACTGCTGGTTTCCTGTTGCTACATGCTACATGCTAACTTTTAAGAACACTGATAGTTACAACATGCCTTTAAAGGTTTGTGGTAAACTTTTATTTTGTATGTGTCCAAGACAGGAAGTATTAGTGAAAGAGTAAAGGCATGAGAAAAAAATGTGAGATGGAATATTTTTCAAATATGAATTTTTTTAAATAAAGTCAAAATATTGAGATAAAGTAAAAAGGTCGAGGAAAGAGTTGAACTGTTGCGCTCTCAGTTGAAGAGCCAGGAATGAGAAATTAAATGATTGATCAAGATGCATTTTTTGAGGAATTAAAAATGAAATATAGAAATGGAAAAATATTAAAACTTATTCCTTTGATATATTTTTTCACACAATTACACACATGCACAATTAATGTAGTTCTGAAGTAGTGTATGATCTTCACATTAACAATTTAAAGAAAATCATCCTCCTCCCTTTTTCTGTCTTATGCCTGTCTCAGTCTTCTGCATTATGTTAGAAAAATCCAACACACAACAACATCAGACATATATTATATCAAACTTGCACAAAAGAAAGTGATGATATGTCACTGAGTCATCAGAGCATATTGTCTGTTATTGTCCGGACAATATTTGATGTCCTTGCTGTTTCACTTTCACAGTCTGTGGACGTACAGATCAGTGTCCTCTGTCCAGAACATAACATCTACTCATTAAAACTCTGAAATCAAACAACATCTGTAATGCAGATGTTCCAGTGAAGATGTGTTCATCGAGTGATGTTGCTGTTAGAATATCTTGCGTAGCCGTTTTCAGGATACAGAGAGAGCTCCTCTGAACTGCCCAGTCCATTGTTGATATCTGAAAGAGATGACAGATTACTGTTTTCACGATGCTGAAACTAAAGTTACTGAAGACAACCATTTAGCTGGAAGTGGTTTAGCACGCTTACAGTGGGCATAAAGACAATACAACATCATACCTGTGTGTCTAATGAGGAAGTTTGAATGTCAAACTTTGGCACCCCCAAGTGGTGATATCACAAACTGCATACACAGTGAATACCAAATCTGGTTTCAATGATTTTTTTAATGATTAATTCAGGTTGTCAATGCAGTCATTTTCAATTTAACATTTATGAAACCAGTCTTCAGTGTATCAGAACACAATGAAAAGAATTGGTTTCTGTCAATTACCGATAAAAAGTATATAATATTTAATGATATCTCTTTTCTCCCACCTCCTTAAAGAGCACCAGGTGAATAAGTAAGATTTCAAAGAAGAAAAAAATAAGTAATGAAGAACATTAATTTAAATTAGAGAGTAGGGAGAAGCTGAGGAAAGAGAAGAGAGAAGAGGAGAGAGAAGAGGAGACAAGCCAAGAAAAGAGGAGAGTAAAGAAGAGGAGAGGTGGATAGAAAAGAGAAGAGAAAAGGAAGAGAGGAGAGTAAAGAAGAGGAGAGGTGGATAGAAAAGAGAAGAGAAAAGGAAGAGAGGAGAAAAGGAGGGGAGAGGAGAGGAGCGGAGAGGAGAGGAGAGGAGAGGAGAGGAGAGGAGAGCTCTTAATTAGGTGCGTTGATTTTAGGAGGATGCATGAATTGTGATTTAAGTATACTCCGGATATTGTCTGAGCTGAAATCTGATCATGATTGAATGTTTGCTCATCACAGGAGCTGATTTGCAAATTGTCTCTATTCCGTATAGGTTTTTATGCATGATCTGTCTCTCCAGCTTCAAACCTGAAGCATTAATTCTCAGGTGTGAATATAAAAAAATTCACAATGTTTCGGTCCCTTTGAACTTTTGTGACTTTTTCTAATAAATTGGTGATACTTATTAAGAGTAGTATGCTGGAGTTTGTCGTCCTGCGCACCTACGTCATGAGATAGTTGTGTTTGCAAACACCTCATTGAAAAAAAGGTGTGAATATAGAGAAAGCAGTACCTGAAAATATGAGCTTCTCCTTCATGATGTTTACTTCCCGACTGGTCCGACGTGTCACAGCGCTCAGCATGATCTGCTCAGGGTTATAGTTCTGCATCCCGCTCATCTTCCACCTGTAACAGCACATAGAGACCATTACAAACAAGCACAAGGAGGAGACGATTCTGAATCCCTTAACATACAAATCAGTTGCTGCATCAAAGAACAATGCAGCTTTATTTGTAATCACTGATTATAATTATAGGTATGAAAACAGAAAAGGGTCCAATGTTGTCTCCTCCTTTAAGTTTGCTTCAGAAGTAGTAACAGAGCAGAGTCTACAGTCGTGTAAATCAGGGCACTGACAAGACAGCACAAGGTTGTTTGACTCTGTACGTTCACATCCTGCAGAGACGCCCCGCTAACCAACAACAGCTGAAAATGTTTGCAGATTAGGAAGACAACCAGGTCCTGGATGTCCTTGAACAATCTGCCATATACGTTAGAAAGAACCTGTATTATTGTTTGAAATCAGTGTCGCTTCTCAACACCTTTTTACAATTCTTGGCTTGTTCAATAAAAAAAAAGAGAAATCAGAGAGAGAGAGAGTCAGTCAGATTCTGAAGGCTGGTAGCTTAATTAGTTAAGAATGTAGGATAGTAGTTTATAAGCAGTTTGCTTCTGCCTGTGCTGTTTCAGTCACTACATAACACATGACTGTTGACTCTGTTTGAACTGTCTGTATTGTTTAAAATGATTGTGTTGTGTATAATGGCTTAATAAAATACTCATATGGGAATGACATGTGGGAAAGGAGCCATTCAAACCCGGGCCGCCCGCTTGGATGACTACAGCCTCTTTACACAGGGTGCGTGAACTTACCCGACTACCAGCGCCCAAAAAATGACATGTTTGATGTCATAAGGTAAATATTACTTTGGACTCGTCAGCTGTCTGAGACAATCAAAGATGCAGCAGTGCCCTTCGTTTACGTCACCATGACTACAGGGAGACACTGAGGAGGCTTATCTATGGTGAGCCTAAATGGACAAAATAGAATTTGCTTAATCTTGATTAAAAAAAGATTAATTAATTAATTACTTAATAAATCGCAATCTTAGTCTTGTATCTGTAGGTCCACAGGTTTTTGATAAATATATTTTTAGATGTTTTAGAATCCAAATGAGTTTCCTGATGCATATTCTTTACCCTCTATGGAGCTTTTTAACTTTTCCTAAAACCTAACAGATCAAATAGTTTGTATTCTTTGCAGATCAGTCAAAATGACACGAGCATGCTAACAGTGAAAGAATCAAGGAAGTTTGAGTGTTTGTACATGGATACACATAACAAAAAGACATTTAGTGGAAAGCACACAGAAACACAAGAGGTAAACAAGTACAGCGTAAGAGAGGAAGGAAACCGCCTCGGGGTGTCGGTCAGAAAAAAAAAGCACAAGGAGGAGGACAGACGAGGAGGCAGGAACAAAGGCCGGAGCAGTGGCAGCAGTTACCTGATCATATGATAGCTGACAGACGCCGGGGGCAGCGGAGGAAGGTTGCATGCAGATCAGGCAGAGCACAGGACAGAGTGAATGTGAGGGGAGAGAGAAAGAGAGACAGAGAGAGAGAGAGAGAGAGAGAAAGAGAGAACACAGAGAGGTTATAGCACAGAGGTGAGACATGATGACAAAAGACACGAGGAGTGAAGAAAATAAAACAAAGAAAAAAAAAAGGGCAGGATGAGCAGAATGAAAATGTTAGAGTAGAAAGCAGCGGAGTGAATAAGAACAGCTCCAGTCAGACTCAGAGACCAGTGCAGAAATTATATGTTCTTAATGATGCTTCTTACTACTGATAATATTGTTCCACATATAAAAACACATTTACTGTGTTTCTATAAGACATTAAAGGTCACATATCCTCCTCCTTTTCAACTAGTTTAAATAAGTCTCAGAGCTCCCCAAAACATGTCTATGAAGTTTCTTGTTCTAAATCCACTCTGGTCCTGTATTTGATCCACTCTGGTCATGTTTATAAACCCCTCTATTTCAGCCCTGCTCAGAACAGGCTGTTTCTGTGTCTGTACCTTTAAATATGTAAATGAGCTGTGTCTGACCACACCCCCTCTCTGGAAGGGCTCAAGCTTTCTTGCTCCATGTCCTATTGTTTACACTAGGGTCAGGGTTAGGGTTACCCTACCCTAACCCTAGACTCAGAGGGCAGAACAAACACCTAGCTGTGGGAGTGTCACCCACCTGGGGGAGGGGCTACTGCCCCTTGTGATGTCATGAAGGGAAAATCTCCAAACCACTAGTTGAGCACACATTTACTCAAAGGTGGAGCAGGCAAAAGACGGAGAGGATGGACTTTTCTCATAATTGGGGGGTTTGAAAAGGGAGTGGGGACATAAAAACATGTTAAAGTGTATTATTTATAATATGTAACCTTTAAGCCCAAGTGCACAGATATGATGTTAAACATAAAGCTTGCAAAGAAAAGAAAAGAACTCATGATTTCTGTAAGGATCAGGTTGACAAAAAATGCATACAAATATTTATTTGACCAGGTTTAGAGATACCCAGCTCTTACATTGACTGTATGTAGTATAAAGTATAAGTATAAAAATAGCTTCAATAAAAACTGTTGACCTTGTGCTCAGAAAATTATACAGAATCAAACAGACGTCATGTTCTTTATTACATGTTAATTACAAACTAAAATATGATATTTCATCTGTGTGACAGATGCTCATACGTTCAGGGTCTGTGATCACACTGTGGACTTACTTCTGATAACAAAAGATCCCTATGACCACAGCTATGGAGACCAGATCTGAAGTGATCCAGATGAAGTCGTAAGCGTGGTGGCTCTGCAAGACAACAGACAGAAGAAGAGTTAACAGTTGAGCCAGAAGAGGTCAGGATTAAAAAATGTGCCAATACAACGTCCTCACTGAGGAAAACGAATGCTTTGTAGTGCTGATCTTTGCCCTTGTTCTTTAAATGTGTCTGCGATTGTTTCCCATGATCCTCCTTTTCTCCAAACCCACGCTGAGCCAAAGTCTGCTGCTGAGCTCCCTCGTTTTTCTCTGCGTCCTTGCCCTCCAGTCTCGCTGAGCCCTCGTCAGTCTCTGTCCTCTCTCCTGCTGTCCTCTCGTCTCGCTGCCTGACCTTGTCGGCGTCTGAGTGTGTGTCAATGTGTGTGTGTGTGTGTGTGTGTGTGCGTGTGTGTGTGTGTGTGTGTGTGTGTGTGGGTGTGTGTGCGTGTGTTGTCAGATTAGAGAGGAAAACTGTTTACCATGAGCCAGATGGGGTAAGGCACCTTTCGGAGGACTTGGGGGGCATCAGAGGACACAGAAGGCACCCCGCTGCACCACAGCAGAGAGTAGAGCCAGGGCTCATTCACCGGGTACACAGTCACGCTCACGTTATTTGCCAGATACTCCCTGAGGAGAGGAAACATACACGTCGATTAATCCCTGTTACTCCTTTGACACTGAAAAGAAAGGCTGGTTAAAATGTTTCACCATACACTGTCAACATTTACTCTCCAGATATAAATCTTTGTGTGCCACATGCTCCAGTCTTCACGTCAACGACACTACACTGAGTATCATTTAACATTCTGCTTTAAAGACCCTGAGAGCAGCTATTTACATTAAGGGCTGGGGCTCTATAAGAACTCAATATTTAAGCTGTTTCTTCCCTTTTTCTTATTGGTATGTGCACTCTTTAACCAGTTTAACACAGTATGAATTCAAACCCAGTTAAAGAAGAGTGTTTGCTGCTGTTTGCTGCAAAATCAGTCAAATAGGATCAAAAAACACCTATACACTTCTTATGAGGTGGATTTGAGGTGTTTAAACAAAAGAGGAAGTGCTGTTGTTTTGGAAGATAACTCAAACATTGGTTTAAAAAAACACAGTCATGTACTCATATATAATATAACATCTGTCCTCCCCTTCTCGTGCGCGTTCCCCAGAGCTTCTGGCTCATCCTGCAGTTTTTAATTAGCTAATCGTACGTGTGTCTCTTATTTCTTATGTGACTATTGTGTCCAATTTGTTTGTAAAACTGCCTGTGAGTTCTTCTGAATGATGTTCTGTAGACTGTCTTTAAATTGTACTTTTTTTTCAAATTAAAACCTGCCTTTAGGTCTACAGATGAAATTTAGCTTGTGTGCTAATTCCAGCATACTTACAGGGATGCTATTTTGAGATGTTGACTAATGTGCACTGTCCTGAAATATAATGAAATATCAGCATGGCTGTGATTCAGTCATGATGATACAGAGTAATACAACGTGCTGAAATTCATAACAACTTCACAACAAATGAATGATTTACTCATCTTTTTTAGATTTAGATTTTTGTGCTTTGTTTTAGACATGACAGGACAGTGGATGGAGCCAGAAATCGGGGAGAGAGAGAGTGGGGAACGACATGCTGGAAAGGAGCCATTGGCCGGACCTGAACCCTGGCCACCCACCCTGAGGACTACAGCCCCCACACATGGGGCACGCACAGTAACCAGTAGGCTACCAGTGCCCAATTAATGATTTATTCATTTATTCAAATAATTTGGCTCCAAAAACACTTAACTAGTTCCAAAACTTGACAGGATCTGGATTATTACCAAGGATCCCAAAGATTTTCCTGCACTCTTGTTAATGTCTTCATTACATGTTTCAGATCATCTCAGATGGGCCAAAAAAAAAAAACTTTAACTTTTGACTTTTTCATTCCCTGCATTCTTTTTCTTTGTCAAAATCTGTGTCTCCTTAATTTTATTCAAGCAGCTGCTTATGTAGCCTCCCTCCTCCATCCTGCACAGCCTCTCTCCTCCTCGAGGTGCAGAGGTGAAGAAGGCTCACTTCTTTCCAACTCCATGCTGCACTATTGCATTTATCTTCCCGATTGTGCTCCTCAACCCCAACCAAAGCTGACTGTAGTGTCATCATTAGGACTTCACACGTTCCCTCTAGAGACACTTGAAGTTAAAGCACACTTTCTTTTCCCACATATGCTGTAAGAGTGTCGAACATCTCTACCTTGAAAATACATCATGATTTAATGATTTGAACAATTTCTGCTATGCCCCCCCCCCCCCCCTCTCTTACTCTATGTCTTTGTGGTGGGCCTTGCTGTAGTGGAGGTTCAGGCTGGTGATTCCTCTCTGCCTTATCTCTTTGATGGACAGCTTCTCATTTGCACCCTGCTGCAGCCCTCGCACCCTCCCCCTGTCCGTGTCGGGGGTCCACGTCACCTGGCACAAAGACATGTGACAAAGGAAAGACCCGGATCAGACAGACAGACAGTGTGTGCTTCATATTGAGACAAGCTACACAAGCCTGGTAGAAAGGTACTGCTTGTAGAATTTAAAATCTCAACGTTATGTCTGTAAATATACTCATATCTTTGTATTTTTTCTGTATTTATACAAAACAAGATTGGATATTGGCACTATTTTAAATTTTTAGTCAGAGACATTCGATTGTATGACATCACAGGCTGCCTGTCTCAGTGACTGTTTGTGACTCAGTGGGGATGAAATTCTTCAAGCAACACCTTTAAATAATCAAAGTATTATTATGGTCGACCTACAGTCCTCACCCTCTTCTGGGAGATCCCTGCTTTCTGCACGGCCCACAGCGTGTCCATGAACCAGCTCCGGTGGCGGGGGTGCTCCGGCGGAGGCCTGCGGATGTCGAGGAGGGCGGAGCTGTTGGCCCTGGACGCCAGGCGCAGCATGTCCACCAGACTGCAGACTGACTGATTGGCTATCCTGACGCGGTCCCTCTCTGTCAGGGTGTTAGCTGTCCAGTAGGGGTCGCTCTGGAAGCAGGAGAAACACAGCAGTGAGGCAGACCCTTAAGACATTTGATGATACATATTCTACAACAGGAAGTGCAGCGATCTGATTGGACATTCGGCGTTCCATTAACAGAGTGAAACATCACTGGGACTTTAGAACATGTGCATCACTTCAATGCAGGAGTTCTGAACACTTTTAATAAACATTACAGCCAAAGGTTTTTGTCAAGATTGATCAAGCTGGTATCTCTGAATCACACAACAGAGCAGATGTGTGTTCAGCGCATGATGAAAAAAGAAACTGACAGATACATGTACACCACACAGATAAACGGATAAAAGTCACACAGGTGCTCGTTGTGATGGAGGAGCAAAATGAATGATAAAATCAACAAAAAGAGTTGTTCTCTGCTTTTCACTCCCATTACAGTATAATATGCTGCTTTAAAACTGTTTAAAGTAATATTAAACTGTTGTGCTGTTGTTGTGCATTGAACGACTCATGCGCCATGGAGACTATTTGAGTTTGAAACTTGTTTTTTATATATTTTTGTCTTTGCAGCATAAGTCAACTGAACACAAAGTAAATGCTCTGTTTGTAGATTAAGTGTTTGTTTATATTATATATATGTCTGACTCTGAACTAAAGGCAACACTACATCGGTCAAAAATACCTCGCAATTAAAAAAAGCCTTTTCCCTCTATTCTATGTGAGGGTGATATAAGGTATTTCAGTACCTCCAGGAACCAGTGTCCTGCATTCAGAGAGCGGATCTCTGTCCAGTTGAAGGAAGAGGCGTCTTCGTACTGTCTGGATGGATAAACCTTACTGATGTCTGTGGTTCGTCTGAAGGTGCTGTCACGCATCAGGAAGGGGACGCCATCCACACTGTGAGAGACAACCGGGTCAGCAAATGTTACAAAAACAAACAGCAACTGATTCAACAAGAAAACGTAGAGGTAGAAGTCGCTTATATTCAGATTAAATAACTTTAATGACAGTGTGCAAGGTAAAGAGATCACACAATATGTTCTCTTCATCTCTGACAATAAGTCTCTAAATCAAAAACCTGCATCCCTGCTGTAGGATATATGGATCTATAGTTAGATCAAATAAAAGTAGTTAGAATTAAAATGTTATGAATATGTGTTTGAAAGAACCTGATGCTGACGTCGGCCTCCAGGGAGCTGGCTCCGTGCTGCAGCGCTCGGTTAAAGGACACCATGGTGTTTTCTGGAGCCAGCTGCGGCACCGAGGAGACAGAGAAAGAAGAGGACCGTCAGTCTTTTCACGATGAAGGGAACAATGATAGAGTTATACAACAAACTCTGTAAATAGAGAAGGATGATGAATTGAAATCACTTTAAAAAAAAAAAAGGTAAAAAGTGACACAGAAAAGTTTGATTTCTACAAATTCTTTATATAAACTTGCAACGTTTTTGTTGCTTAATTAGGACCAAAACTTCTAATGAGAGTTAAACTTTTTAATGAGAGGTTCATAGGTGCTTTGTGTGTGTGTGTGTGTGTGTGTGTGTGTGTGTGTGTGTGTGTGTGTGTGTGTTAGTCTTCAGAGGGCAGGAGAACACAGCTCTGAACATCTCTGTACATTTGTATTTGTTTATAGGCAGTCATCTGGAACAGTGTTTGCTCGGCCGGCTGTGAAATGAGAGTTCACTGTGTTGTCGACTCTCACGCTCACTGAGCCTGATAACAGCAGACTCATGTTGTGAGTCTGTCCAACACTCTGCTGTGTGAAGCACGGTGCAGAGACAGGCACACACACAGGCCTTGCTTAACGTGATGAGTACATGTCTCTTTTCCTGTTCTGTTGGACCCTAAACAACAATACATAACTTTTCCACCTTAAGATAGTAGTTTCAGAGTGAAACTATTATAACAATAACTTTCTACAGGGAAAATGGTGTCCATCCCATTTACACAGAGCACCCCGGTCCTCTGTTTTCTGCACTATGTAACTTTGGGGGCTCTCTCGCGCGAAATGCGTATGGCTTTATAGCGCTAGTTCACACACCAGCCTCTAGATCAAAAGAAGCCTTCTTCCTTCTCTAAGCCTCAGCCATTGTATCAAACAGTACCAAGACGGGCTAACAGGAGAAAAAGAGAGCCTGATCCAGCAAGAAACCTGACTAGAGTCAATATTGGACAGGCTTTTACAAGCTAGCAAGAGCTTTGCAAATCAGTTGGCCTCAAGTCCGACGCCATGTCAATACACTTTGTATTTTTTTATGACAGTGCTGTTGCACTCAGAGACCTTCAGTGGACGCCAAAGCGCATTGAACAAAATCATGTTGCCATTTCTGAAGACTTTAGATTACGTCTACGGTGCTAAATTCGCAAGTTATTTTTGTTTTATGCTTTGGTTTGATTCTATCATCTGGATCAGACTGTGATCTGGTGAAGCACTCAAACTCACCATAGGAGCTCCCCGTCGACCGATGACTTCAGGTCGATGTGTGAGGCTGTGGCGGTCCATGATGCAGGGGCAGGTGAACGTGAGCGGAGCCAGATACAGAGCCAGGAGGACGAGGGTGTAGATCAGCAGCACCACCACCTGGAAAGCTAAGAGCGAGGAGAACGAGAGAGACAGAAGAAAATGCTCAGCTGTGTCTGAGTTTCTGAAATGACTTCTTTAACTCAGTATAAATTAAACACAAGACATCAGGTATGGTAATAAAAAGGATCTTAACTTGATATTCATGTGAATACTTACTGGATCTCTCTCTGCGGACCACATAACCAGCTACCAACCAGCTGATGGCTGTGACTGTTGTCAGGGCTCCGAGGTGCAGGAAAGGTGCTGTGGCCTGATTACAAGAACACAAACACACAACAATGTTATTTATTGATCAGTTAGAGAGAGTGACAAAGTCTGAGGCCATGAAGATAATAATTATAATCATAATAAAGTTAAAATTGTATTTATCACGCACTTAACATTTGAAGCTAATCTCAAAGTGCTACAGAGTTAAAACAGGAGGATAATAAATAGATTTGTCATAAATGGACAAATAGTGTGATCATCAGAGCACATTTTAAAGAGTGATATGGGATATGAAGAGTTAATTATGTCTCATCACCACGGCTTTATCTTACCACAAAGGGTTAAAAAAGGATCACCAGACCAGATACATTTAATGTAGAAGTAGAACGGGTTTGGGTTCTTGTTTTATTTTAGTCTGTTTCAGGTTGTGGGATGTGATATGAAGCCAGCTCAACATAGTCAGGCTTTCTTTGAGTAAACTGGCTCAACAAAGCCTGTAGTCGCAGTCAGAGATATGTAAACGAGGGCGTTAATCTCATCATTTGACGTATCATCGGCATAGAAAGGAACAATGACTGACTGTATAATTCACTCCCACCGTCATGTCATGTCATGAATAGCGCTGATAAGTATCATTAAATTACTGCATCAGGTTTCCTGCATCACTCATTTATTGCATGAGTGTTCCCAAAGATGGACTGTATACAGTTCATCAACTTTGACTAACAATTTAATTCTGTGGCATAACAAACCTAACAATACTGTTCAACAAGTCTAAATAAACAAATCCCCTCATCTCAACTCAGAAAGTATATCGCTGCTTGGGGATGTCACCCTGACACAGCTTTGAAGGCACATAACCTGCTAGAACTCGTAACCTGGTCTGGTTCGGCTTCTAACTTAACCTCTAATCTTGCCTCATAGCACACCTTTAAACATCATGATTATAGAGCTAAATGTCAAAACAGTAATTGTGATTCGGACCTGCAGTGATACGAGCAGGATGTCCCACTCATCGGCCCACAGGTCATCAACAGAGACGATACCAGAGATGGTGGTCAGCAGCGTCGCTAACACTCCAATCTGCAAGGGAGAGGGAAGGGCAATGATGCACTGATGTTCATAAATGTCTCAGAGAGAGAAAAAAAGTGACAGACATTTGAGATGTAAAGGATGTAAATCACAGCACCTTGTGAACCCAGTAGAGGTTCAGCTGCTGGCCCAGAGAGATGTGGAAAAGAGCTAACATCTGGAACAAGAGGCAAGAATCAATGAGGGATTTTCTAGCTGGATATTATTAAGATCTGTAAGGTGTTTCAAACAGACTGTTACCAGTAAGAAAGTGATGTAGCTGAATCCTATGGTGGTGGACGCCAGGAGTGGGATCGTCTCATCGCTCCATTCTCCAGAGTGGTTATACACCGACCTGGAGTTACAATAGAGACTGATTTACTCTGATGGTAAATCTAACACATTTTCCCATCTGCGCACTACAAAGAAACATGCTAGTTTGTCTGGTTGCTTCATAATCTTATAGTCCTAATCTTTATCAGTCACACATTGGGATGACTGACTCACATGTTGAACTCGTTGATGTCATTTTGAGCCACCAGCCAGAAGTAAGCCCAGAAGAGCAGCAGAAGGAAAGAACTGCACAGGAGGACGAACCATGTACACTCCCACTGTGAAGAAAAACACACAAAAACACACAAGGAAAAACTTTTAGAGAAATATGTAAGCCGCTATATTCAGTGTTATTACATAAACTACAGAGTACAACTGATGTGGTATTTATTTAAAGGGATAGTTTGGTATTTTAGAAGTTGGTTTGTATGAGGTACTTGTCAGTAAGTAAGTATTTTAGCAGCAAGAGATGGCGTTTAGTTTGTCCCCTTCAAGGAGAGACAGGCGGATGTGCATACAATGAAGGCTGGGAATTTTTGTATTTGATCATGCAGATATGCTCAGAACATTGATTAAATAAAGACGGACAACACCAAAATACCTCCTGATGGATGTTAACATATTGCGCTAGTGAGGCCATTTTCGCCAGAGTTAAAATATATACAAGTAAAATGACAACATCCCTCAGGTGGGTACAGTTCATAGCACAGCAGATTCTTGTGTCGGTGTTATAATCCTTTCCATAGAAAATATGATATCAAATTAACACAAAACTTCTCAGAACAATGATTAATTGGACATAAACCAAAACAATAATAACAGAAACCATGTTTGAGGAAAAACTGTATTTGATGTGAATCTTTACTTTTATAGTTTGACCCATGCCCAATCAGTTAATACGGAGGAGGCAGAGCTTTATGACCTATACTGCAGCCTGTCAGTGGGGAGAGCTCTTAATATTTTAGCTTCACTATTGGGGAGCTGTCATGTCATCCTGCTTTTTTTTTTTAAATAACTTGATTAGAGAATATTTTGTATTATTACACATTGTCAAAAAAAAAGTTCTAGAGCTGATTACTTTCTGCTCAGTTGTGATGCTCTGATACACATGCTGCACTCAGTGCACGGTAAAGTACTCTGTAGCAGGTTTTTTAACCCCTTCCAGTTCTCTCCTACTATGTGGGGCAAAGGTGTAGAGGTGAGTTTGTGCAGCAGTCAAGGACTCTTCCCTTCAGTGGTTAACAGGATAAGGAGCTAATGCTCTGTGTGGGGGAGTGAGGGGTATGATAGGCCAGGGCACACAAACTGATGAGCATTGATCAGCTTTGCACCACAGCGTGCCTGGACTCAACATTTCCAGCAGCTTATGTAAGAGGCTCCGTGATGATTAGATGTGTGTGCAGGTAAAGAGCAAATGGCTGCACTGATGAGGCAGCTGAGGCCACACAAAGGGACCCATAGAAGGTTTTATATCATTTCTAATCCGATGGAACAACGTGATGGTAGAAAGTGGATGTATTAAAAGCATTAGTGGCTGTTTCAGACTGATTTATATGTGACTTAAAGATCAGATGAGTTTTCATATGAAGCACTTAGAGTTAATTGTGCCTTATGCATCAAACAACAATGGAAATATTGTTCAAGTAAGAGTCAGTTTATGGTCTTTTATATTCACAAAAACACAGCCTTTGAAGATGAATCAAATGTTGTGATTTATTTTATAAGTCTGCAGACCATTTTCCAAAATTATGGATTTTTATGAATGATTCTGCCATGGTTCATATCTTCTTAGAGATTTACAGCATTGTAGTTTTTATTCTAAGCAGGCTTTCATTGGAGAAAAACATACTAACTCACAGTATTTCTTGAAAAGTTCAAAGAATACCAGAAGCATATCATATCTTTATTTGAGAAATTTCACAAATCCCCAGCATTTTTTGTTTCTTTCTTATGATAATTATTCTTATTATATACTTATACTTATTATACTATTATTCTTTGACCTAATTTGTCTTTGTCTATCATTGTTCTTCCTCCATGATGAAACCGGTTGTTCAGTAGATTAGGACGCAGGAAGCGGTGTGAGCTGTTAGGTCAGTGAAAGGCGGTGACAGCTTAAGTTAGCTCCGGGTAAGAAAATCTTCTTTGGTGGAGAAAATGGTGATGAGGAGAAGCCTGCTTCTCAGAAACTACAGTCAGAGCTCCTTTTAGCAAAGCATTTAATACATGACAGATCATGTGGGTACGTTTGTTCTGTCTCCACCAGCAGGGACGGATAACAACTGTAACTCCCAAATCACAACATGGTTTGTGACATAATGAGCAAACAATCCCTGCTCATAGATTTGACGTTAATGGAGTCATTCAAACAGAAATATCAAAGTCTCTGGAAATGTGTGTTGACGTTTTGAAGAGTCATTACAAAGATCTGACATCAAAGTTGAGAATAATACATGCAACTATCCATCCATTCATCCATCCATCCATCTTCAGCTTGTCCAGGGTGGGTCCATCTCATCAGCAAGGTTTTTCAGCCTCTCTTGGGGGATACCAAGGCGTTCCTTGGTCAGATGGGATACATGATCCCTCCAATGATCTCTGGGTCTACCACGGGGTCTCCTCCCACCTGGATGTGCTTGGAAAACCTCCAAAGGGAGGCAACCAGGGGGCATTCTAACAAGTTGCCTGAACCACCTCATATGGCTCCTTTAGATGGAATGGTTGCAGTCTCTACTCCGAGCTCCCTCTGGATGTCTGAGCCTCTCACCCTATCTCTAAAGCTGACCTCAGACATCTTTCCGAGGGAACTCATTAAGGGTGTTTGTATCCGTGATGTTTGTTTGGCACTTTTTTTTTGCATTTGCATTTGCAGCATGTTTTGGGCTTTCACATAACTTGTGATTTTTGTATCGTCTCTGAATCTGCATCCTGTCTGGAAACTGTTTGGGTCATAGCAGCATGTTAGCACTTAACAGCCACTTAACACCATGCAACCTTGCCAATTAATCATCACCTACATGGTGCTGGATGACAATAAACAAACACTGTGTTTACCACATATTTTGTGGTAAATGGAAATATTTAAAATGCTTCATAGGAATAAAAAGGGATCATGAGTTAAGATGGTTGCAATTTTCCAAACTGTCCACAGCTTAACCTCTTTCCGCCCCTCTCTCACTGTGCAGTATAAGTCATGTTCAGGAGCTGTGGGATATCTGACACTTTCTCCTGAGTGCTTCATGGCCTTCAGAGGTCTCTCCATCTCCCCAATTAGAGCCGCTGATACCGAAGCTCTGACAGCACTCATAAATCCTGATCGATATGTTGACTTCATCATATGAAGAAACTCTCTCTGCTGATAAATATTTTACAGAATGAACCGGCAAGGTCATAGTCAGCAGAACATAAACATTGATAAAGGGAACGGATCAAAAAGTAAAAGAAAACTGAACAAGGAATCCGTTTTCAGGAACTCCAATTGAGGTACAAATATTAACAAATAAAACTCCATCCATCCGTTATCTTCTGCTTATCGGGGGACGAGTCACGGCGGCAGCAGGCTAAGCAAGCTGTCCCCGACTTCCCTCAGCTGACTACTTTTAGTGCGAAGGAGTAGTGGCTTTACGCCAAGCTCCTGCTGGATGTCAGATCTCCTCATATCTCTAAGGCTGCGCCCAGCCAACCTTGAGAGGAAACTCGTTTTGGCCGCTTGTATACGCAATCATGTTTTGTCAGTCACTACCCACAGCTCATGACAGTAGATGAGGGTTGGAACGTAGATTGGCTGGTAAATCGAGAGCTTTGCCTTCCGGAAAGTGGTGGTTGGGACCCCCTGGGGGGGTCGCGAGACACTGAGATGCGACCCCCTCTCAGTGTGTCCCATAGAATGGCCCATAAAATGGCATTTTAATGAAAAAATACATTAAAATGCCATTTAAATTGAATATTTTTCCCATTACTATGAAAATATAAAGTAGTTAAATTTTTGTTAAGGGAGATTCATCCTCAAATAAAAGTTAAAAAAATAAAAACATAATAAATGCCTTAACTACCTCCAGGGACTGTAGGGGTCCCCGACCCCTAGTCTCTACTGTTACTTTGGGGGTCGAAGGCGGAAAAGTTTGGCAACCCCTGATCTAGCAAATGAAGATCCAGATCAGCTTTCAATGTGGATATGTGCTTCTGACCTCTAAAGCCTCTTTTAGAACATCTGTCTGGGTGTTGACTTTCTCCTTTGGGTTCATATCTTGACCTTTCACCATGGGACCCAGCTCGTCTCTTACTTCCTCTGTTGTCACTTAAAGCTTTGCAGATAGTTCAGATTGGATCATCTGAAAACATAATCAGCTCTCTCTTCTGCCTTGAGTACCTGCAGTATTTAATTCCCCCGATTCAGTGAATCTTCACACCACACGTTCTTCGGCAACACTGTAAGCGGCTCTGCAGGCAGATGTGCAAAACTGTTTTTTTTTCCAAGCAAACTGTTTTTGATCGTGTCTTCATGAACTGTATTAATGGAAGTTAATCAGTTTTATTTGTTTATTTGTTTGTTTTGTTCTCGGTCAAGAGAACTACCTTGGCATTAAGACAAAAGACAATGCTGGTGATTATATGACATTGAAATATAAATAAATGGATCATCTTTAGGTTCCTGTGATGTACTTGGTGAACTCTGTGGGCCAAGCAGCACCTCTTATCTCTTTGCAGTTCTTTCCCTGTACATAATGTTTCCAACAGTAAATCTCACCCAGCATTCAAAGCTAACCTCTCTGCTCATTTCTGAGCACTCTGTGTATGTGTGACTACATGAATCTTTGTTAAAGATACAGAGAGGAGCGAGAGAGAGGCAGCTGTGTGCTTGTTTTTTTTTTATCCTCTCAGGCAGCACATCATCAGCTCCAGGATCACACATTCAGTAAATGGACTAATTTATGGCCGAGTCTCTGACTCTTTGTGATAAAGAAGACATCCAGCAGCAGTTGCCGTGGCTGCACAGCGGGTATCAAACACAGCTGGGTGTCTGGCTCTGCTTTCCACAGACACACACTGTGCTGATTCTGTCTCTCTTTATTTAATGTGAGGATCATTTTCCTCAGTTCCTAGGATCTGGTCTGGAACTCGCTCAGGAATTCAGTAAGGATTGGGATGGCTCGAACGTTTGTAGTGTTTGACAACAATCTTCTTCATTTAAAAAAGATTTCTAAATTCCTGGAGAGCTACTTGTTGGGCGGCAGTAGCTCAGTCTGTAGGGACTTGGGTTGGGAACCGGAGGATGCCCTTGAGCAAAGCACCGAAAGCCTCCAACAGCTCTGGCACACTCCCTGTGTAGCAGCCCGACTCTGACATCTCTCCACTAATGCATGTCCACAGGTCCTGTTTGTGCATGTGTGTAATTTGGACCTATGTGCTTAAGAAGCATGTCTCTCCAAAGAACCAAAGATGTTTCCATTTATGGTGTGATGTGTTGGCTTAGACCTTGCCATCTGCAGTATTCCTGCCTCCTGCTCCTCCTACTGCTACCATTCTCCATTTAACCCAGTAATGCAGTGGTTCCCAACCTTTTCAGGCTTGTGACTGCACTTTGATTTCACAAAACTCTGACGACCCCAGTCATCCAAAACACACAGAGCTGTTTCTGTTCAATTATTTAATCCACTTTTTTTTTTTACTGTGTTGCAAGTAAACACTCATTTCAGACCATATTCAGGCTATTTCATGTAAATGATTGTGGCCTGACACAGAAGGTGTGTGTGACTCGGTGTGCATGAGAGAGGTAGACAGAGATACTTCAAGTTTGTTAGCTTTTGGCTACGGCGCACAATCACCTGTGTTCAGTTCAGGCGATAAAGCCAATGCTATGATACATTTTTTATTGATCAATAATTCCAAATTTCAGGTGACACCATTAGATTCCTGTTGGGATCAGGAAAGCCTGCAGTAATGTCAGCGATTAAAGTCTATACGTCTGCAATGTTAGCTATGAATAAAAACAGGTGTTATACATAATAAAGGCTCCTTAATGCTGTAACAAAATATAACACAAGAAAGTGAAATAAAGTCAAGTCTTACCCTGGAGCTGTCGTCTTGGGAGCGCTGGTAGCGTTTCCAGCGACAACCATAGACCCCAGTGACAAAGGACACAAAGACCTGCTTCTCATAGACCTGTAAGGGTTGGTGTTTCACCATGCTCCTTCAGCCTCAACGCTCCACCAGTCCGATAACATCCCACACAAGACTGGGAAACCCTGCAGGAGAGCCAAGAGTTAAAACAGAAAAAATAAGCTCAGTCTTTAAACATGCTATTACATTTATCATCAACAGGCAGTGTCACGTCTTGGTGCCGCCGTGTATTTTCACAAAAACATTGTTAAACATGTTGACAGTCCATGGCCTTGTTTGGAGTTGCAACAACAGTGAGGAGAAGTCAACACGCTGTAGTGAGTCATGTCTGGGAGTGACATAATAACACCGTGCATCCCTTTAACGTCATGATGTCAGGAGTTACGACCGGGAAGGATTGTAAATATGCAGCAGGAGCCAGATCCAATCATCTGTGGACATGAACTAATGCAGAGAAGAAGATTATGAAAAGTGAAAGCGTGCAACTGAGTCAGTGTGTTGCCGTGACGACCACTTCTGCCTCAGTGAAAAGCGAGTTGCCTCGGCTGCAGGTAAAAATGTGTTGGCTCAGGAGGTGGTGCTCCTCGTGGCTTTCTGGAAGAGACGGCGCTGCGCTTTGTGTCTTTCTTTTCCCACTTTATAGAGATCGTATAAAAACTTTATACTATACTATGTGGATGATTTAGCACATGTAACATAAAGTGGGTATAGTGGGACTGGATACTGGGAATAAGCTCAGTGTGATGATCTGTCCTTTGCAGCCTTTCTGAAACACTTTGCTCCATTGGTGGTAAACAGTTTATAAGATAGCATGGCCTTTCAAAAACTTGTTTTTTATGGATTATAATGTCATTACACTACTTTGGTCCAGAGAGAAAAACATCAACAACACCTGGATGCTTAGAAGTTTAAATATTATTCCGACAATTCTCTGACATTTTCAAAAATGATCTGAGCCGAGGACATGAGGCTAAGGCGAAATGAAAGAATAAAAAGTTTTAGTTATGTTGTGCTCCATATCTACATACAACTGTTGTATAATATGATTTATGATCAACTACCTGCAAAAGTGATGGCATCCCGTACAGTACTTTGTGTTTAGCAAATGTTTGAATGTTAACATGCTAATCTAAAAACTTGGGAGCAACCTGAAATATGCAAAGGAAGGGGAACTGTCTCAAACCTACATATAAGTAAGGTCTTTTACCTGCTTTTTGTAAAGTGTCTTAAGATAACACTTGTTATGAGTTGACGCTATACAAAATAAATTGAATTGAATTGAATTGAATTATTTGGCAACTGAGTCTGATAAGTTCCCCGTAGTGTGAAGCAGTGTAAGCCTTTCTCGACCGCCAGGTGGGCCGTTCAATAAGTGTGTCACCTAACCTGAGAGCTATGGCTAGATGATTAATATCAGGCTGGGTGTGCCTCAGGGCGTGGTCTACCTGTGATTAACAAGTGACCATGCAAATGTTGTCACTTGTTGTTTTTTAATAATTGGTCATTGTACTACACAACCTAAAGCCGTGTCACTGTGAACTGTTTCCATGCTGATCAGCAATAACAGCACAACAGATAGATGTTGTGGCTTGAAAAGAAGGCAAGGCCCGGTCTAATAGGATTCTTTAAAAAGGTCAAGGCAAAGTAAGTTTACTCGCAGAGTGACAAGCCAAGCTGTGATGGCACGTGTCTCTGCTGTGGTGTCCTGCATGGTAACAAGGCTGAGCAGGACTGAACAAACAGTCCTCAAACCCACACAACCACAAGTCCTTTGTTCCTCTCAAATACAACTAACAAGAGGGTTTTAAGAAATAAGCTTAGTTCAGTCTGCCTAAGGAGACAAAATTACTACGGTTAGGATATTAAAACTACTTGAAGTCTTTACACAAGTTTTAGAGCAAAATAAGATTGCTGCTTTAGTTAGTTTAAATGTGTACTTTGGCTTTTTCACATTCAGAAAGCAAGAGATGAACTGTAACACAATTGTTCAGGTTTTTTTAAACGGGGTTGTGTGATGTTCTTATCCACACACAGTGACTTTGTGGCAGAAATACTTTTTGATCCAATCAGGTGATGGCATGAAACATAGTGTGACATGAGAAGAAACACAGAACTTTTACAGTTGAGAAACCCAAAGTGCCAAAAGAAAAAGTTTTTCCTTCAGCAAAGGTCAAACTGAGAAACGATACAATTACAATTTGCTTCAAGAGACTGAACTTTTTTCATGGATAGAGTTGCCCCAAAGCCTGTGTATAGTGTTACAGCTAACAGTTTGTCCACAACAGCAGGAGGGTCAGATATCCCTTTAAATCGAGCAGCAGCAACAAAAGCTTGCGCTCCACACTACATCCGTTAAATATTCATTTTTTTTGCTCTGTGAATTTCAGTTTCACCTTGCAGTTTGATGCCTAATGCATTTGTTTTGAAGGGAGGAAATTGAGGTTTGATGTTTTGAATTGATGAGGCTTTCATGGCGGTGAGCTGTATAAAGTTTTTGTCTGGTGTTGACAAAGCACAGTATTTAAATCACAGAAATTAAAATTGTTAATTTACAACTATCTCCACTTAAATGTGCCTTGTGGATCTCCCTCATCCTTCGTACCCTGTTCCTCGTCCATGTCGAGTACAGGTATGAAAATAGAAACCATAGAAACAAGCTGAGTTTTGTCGCTGTTATAGGACTCAGACTAAGTTTCCATGTCAGCACACTGAGGCCAGCTTCTCTAACCGGGGCCATGACATCTGCCAACAACTGAAGGTGACACACTGTCTTTTACAACTATTCCTCAAACGACCCAACTTTAAGAACTGTCCCCAAAAGACTTCAAGGTCACCTCTTGTTTCTCTCTTGAACTCTGCTGTCCTGGATCAAAGTCCTGTGTTTGTACTCATGCCACTGCCGCCAACTGTTACAGCATCAATGAATCAATAAAACAAAGCTGATTAAAAGCAGAGCAAGGACAAAGGGCTTCATGTTGGACGCTGTCGTCGACAACACCGATGCCTTTCAGTCTAGCATCACCATTAAAACTAAAACAGTTCAGTTTTACCAGCATGTTATGGCAACCACTTGATAGTTGAAGACAACAGAGAGCATCTCACTTCTTTTGCTTCAACTTCATAAAAGCCAAAAGTAGGTTAAGAGCACAACTCCACTTCTTGGCTGATCCAAAGCAGCAGAAGCTTTGCCTTAGAAGACAACAGCATCAGAGGTAGTCAGCTAATGAGTTAAACAGTCTGCTTGTAGAGTGAAACCTTTCAAGGTGAAGATGAGCGAGTCACTCGTCATAACTACCTGACCCATGCAGGTATTGTTGTCCGTATGAAAAGGATAGATGAAGAAAACACACAACCTGAAGACAGCAATCGGACCAACTACACTCACATTGTTTTGGTGAATCAGCAATGACTGCAAAGCTTCCTCTGCAGAGATCATTTTTTCTATTTTCAACACTGACAACTATGATAACTGAACTTTATCAGCCAACACCTAGTCCAATACTAGTGCCATTAAAAGTGCCATTAAAAGATTGTTTGACTCTGGACCCAATGTTGCTAAATGGTAAATGAGATTGTTTAGCGCTTTTCTAGTCTGACTATTCAAAGCGCTTTTATACCTCTGGTCACCGATTCACACGCTGATGGCAGATGCTTTGGTGTAAAGTGGCCATCAGTATATGTGACACACAGAAATGTGTGATCACATTATGTGATTATTTTTGTGTGTATATTTCAATATGTAAATTTGTAATTGGGAGCATTAGTTCTGTTATTTTGTGTAAAATGTAATTTAGAATGTGGTTCCAATTTGTGCCACAAGGAGGTGTAACCTCCAGGTGAGACAGCTTAGTGTGCTCGGCAGCCCAAGCGAGGATAGGAAACACACTACATTGCTTTGTCTCATTATTTCCCTGTTATTTACAGGTGAGTAAATTACATACATGTGGTCTATATAGTCTTCTATAACATGTAGAAGCTAACGCCATCCTTAAGTGTGTGTCAGGATGTGTTTTAAATGTGTTTTGACGGTTTTAAGGTACTTTAGCAATGACGCTCATGAGCGCGAGCTTAGATCATCGCCACGTTCATATATGGGCGCCACTGTATGTCTGTCATGGCTTGTCCCTTGCTCTCAAGTTGTTTTGCTAGTTTTATAAAGCTCCTGCATATCTCTTAAAGTAACTGTGAGTTCATGAAGACTGTTTGTTTTCATATTTTGTACTTATTTTCTTGTAAAATGTGTAACGCTAACTCCGCTAGCTTCGCAGTTTCTCTATGGGATTTCCCATGTTATTTGTTAGCATAATGCTCAGCGAGACTTGATCTCCTCCTGTATTAACCTGTATGCAACTGTATTGCATTAATAAGAAGCTCTTAAGTAGCAGAACCAAATTATTTTATATTTGTTTAAAGAATAATAACACACAGAAACGTTTATTTTGTAGTTTTGAGAACTTTTGCATGTTATATAAGACAAAGTATAAGTTTATGTATATTTTTGTGCATATTGTGTTGAAATGTGGATAAAATGTTCTTTTTGAAGGAAGAAATGAAAATAAGTAAAACTGAAATACATAAACATATGTATAAAAATAAAGACTAGAAGAAGCGAGGATAGCAAACACACTACATTGCTTTGTCTCATTATTTCCCTGTTATTAACAGGACAAATCTAATCTGGCAACAGTCCTCCATACGGAGCCTTTTACATATAGGTATTAACCAATCCATTTATACATGTTCACATAATGCTGATGAAGCAGCGTGAGCAACTTGGGGTGTTTTGCCCAAGGACACATTGGACATGTGTCTGCAGGAGCTGGGGATCTAACCCCTGACCTTCCAGTATAGAGACGGCCGACTTGCTAGTCACAGGCGCCCAAAATAAAAGGATTGTTTGATTGAAATTTGAATTGATGTGCAAAAAAAGACACTGCATGCATGCTTTCTTTTTTTGTTAATTGCAATATATATCACAGAAAGAAATCAATTGAAATGTCTTTTCCCAAATCATTGAGCCCTAGTAACCCCTGCCATGAAAGTGGTTTTATTGCCTTCCCAAATCAGATATTTTTTTAAACACTAATTAGAAAAACAGATTTAAACCCAGCTGAAATTCAATCTTCTACATTGTGTTGCTTATCTCTTTGATAAAGGACTGCGATGAGCTGCAATTTCCTGCTCAGATTTAAGTAGATTAGAGTGTTTCCTGGTCAACAGCGATTCCCAAAACAAACTGCTCCTTTGTCCTTATCTCTGAACAGAAAATTACAACATGGCATTGACACTAAATGTGTCTGGATGTGTCTCTTTATGTGAGGCTAATAGCTGCATGTCACTTTAAAGATTAAAAAAACGGATGCATCACAGGCAGATTTAAAGGCAATCAAGCCATGCCTTAGCTTTGTGCTACTCACAATGACAATGCTAAGATGCAAAAAACATGATTTTTTTCCAGGGTTTAGCATCTGTCTAGCATCTTGCGAAGTCATTATTTTTTTCACTGAACCAGCATGTTGGACGGACGCTAATGCAAGCTAATCACTGCACAGAAGCTCTAGCTAATGGTAGCGCAGGAGGGCAGTTTCAGCTTGTTCGTACTGGGGTGGGTTATCTTATTGGAAATCCACCCATGGAAATACTCAGCAGTTTTGTTGGTTATGATGTAACACATGCTGCTGAATACTTAAACTGTGTATCCTGGTTCAGGTTTTCTTACAGGATGAGTGTGAGTGTTTGTGGATTGTCTGCAAAGCTAAATCCACACAACAATCTTCAAAGAGAGGAAGTTGTTGTGTATCCACTTTTCACTGTTGACATTATAATATGGGAACTCCTGGGCCTGAGGGAGACTTTCTTTGAGGTCAGAGGTGTTGGCAGATTTCCAGCATTCATATCCTGACTGACCTCATCATCCTCACATGAAGGTCAAACAGAGGTCTTATTCCAGCGAGACGGGTCTTATAGCTAAACAGTGACCGCACACATTTTCAGTAGCTCTGGTTCTGGAAGTAAAATTCATTTGAATCCTTGATTGGCATTTTAGAAAATCCTTATAATGAAGTACTGAAGCCTGGAACCAAGACAACCAGCCCCCCAATACTTGTGAAAACAAACTTTTTGTTACGACGCAAAAAAAAAACATACTTTATTTGCAACCTAAGGTGATTCCAATTTATTAAACTGTTACAGGAGCTTGACGTTTTGGTGATCTTCATTAATCACAATTATTTTGGCCGTAAAAGTCTGGAGGAGAAGTTTATATTGTCGCTTAGGATGCATTTAAACGCCTTCTTCTTCAAGAGGTACAGATCAGTCTTTGCGTCTGACATGAAGGTTATTCTCTTGACAGTTTGGTGGTTGCTGTGAAGTTATCAGTAGAAATAACAAAGCCAGTGCTTGTTGATTACAAAATATAATAAAAGATTTCCAAGGAAAAGTGACATGAAAAGTACTCCTGGACTTCAATCAACACTTTCAAAGATGAATCTGCTGTTCAAAATATTTGCAGCAGAGTCTACCCCGCCTGAAGAAGTGTCTCCAAAACAAGTTCTATTTATTGTGAAACCTCTGACAGCGACAACACACAGATGATTCTCACAGACTATAAACAGGATGCCTAAGGGTGTGAATTAATATACCCATACTTAGCTCAAGTAAATACTGTAATAGGGCTTTCAAACTTCCCTGAAATCTCCTGTAAAAGGTCAGGATATTTCCAGGAGGAGATATGTGTGTGAACACAAACAACCAAATTTTCACTCGGACTTCACCCGGAGTTTCTCTGCCCAGACCCCGAGTATTTTTTTCGAAGCAAGTCTGAGTGAGCTGATTTGAAAACGCTGCAGGATATTCTCCCGAGAACTCACCTTGAGCCAATGGGAAGGGGAGTGATATTTCTATACTGTGACTACTGCATGGTGCATAGTGTCTGCACGGGACCACGACGATCTCCGTGCACGTAATGAAACGGATGCATTATGTTTTCTGTTCATCAGTATGTTGTTCTAGACGTCCCCTTGTCTGACTTCCTGTCTGGTGTTGATCTGTTCTGTTCAGCTTGATTTGTACTTGCATCGAAAATAGACTTGGCTCGTATTTGGAGCAGAGCAGACGGACTACAGCGAACACATATCCGGAGGAAACAGCCAGTAAGTGGTTTAAATGAGCTTCTGTTGGGAGTTTGAGAAACAGGTATCTTAGACAAACAGAGCAGATTTGATTTTCTCATGTCACTTTTTTATTGTTTCATTAGCTTCTGCAAACTAAAGTCTCTCCCCTGATTCACAACAAACATAAGAAAAACACTTAAAACAACAAAAGTAATGTCATTGATGTGTTTACTGACAGCATGTGCAGCTTCGAGAAGAAGTGAGCTCTCCAAATGTTCACCCAGGTTCACCCAGACCAGACTTTTGTAGAGTCTAGCTGGCCTCCCTGTCAGCTGGCTGCAGGCCTGTTCCCTCACATTAACCTGCTGTTCACCTGATGGGAGCTAACCTCTCTCCTCATCTCCTTCCTCGCATGCTACCAGACGTATCCTGGTCATTGTCAACACTCCTCAAGTCTGCAGACACCCTACTGAGTCAAAGTAAAGTTATAGCTATGTGCCCGCTGGATAATAATACAATAATCCACTAAGTCTCAGCCAATCATTGCCACACAGCCTCTGCCATATCAGTCTATTATTAGCCTTTTTATCTCGGTCACTGTCGCCTCTTTCCAGGCTGCCATTGTTCATGAAATTTAAATATGTATGCTTTGATAGAACCCTTAATCTTTTAGTGGATTTGTCCAAAAATAGAGTTTCCATTAGTGCCTCTCGATCACACACAGGGCCGAGTATGAGGGCTCAGACTGGACACAAAGCTGCTTTCAAAGCCAAAAGACGGATGTGCATGTTAGTAAATGCTGATGCTGATTTTCATCCTCAACATATACATCCCACAAGTCACAGGGCATGAGCTGCTTCTTGTTAAAATGAGACCTATACCCTGCACTTCATCAAACAAGCAACACCTGCCAATTCTGAGGATCCTCCGATTTATTAAAGGTGATTTAAGTCTGGCACAGAGTGTAAGTCACACTGCAGGAAAGTCAGGGAGCAGATCGAAAGTACTAGAAAGACACAGAATGTCTTTTACTAAACAGATTTTAGAGGACTTAAGGACGGACCAATGTGCTTCTTTAGACTTTTATTCTTTTCAACACGGGGTGAACTGTGTCTTTGCATGCTTCAAATAAAACAAAAACATTCAGTCAAGAAATTATGAATATAGCAGCAACAGGTTTTAGTAACAAATGTGCAATTCAAAAGAGGCTGATTGGATTTTCTTTCATGGGGAATATTAACAAACGTTGAGCTCCCTCATCAGCTCAGTGTCTACTATGTGTGTCCACAGACCTTAAAGAAGAAGAAGAGGACACAACATCTGGTTTCAGAAGATAAGGATAGATGAAATGTCACAAAACTGCATTCTTTTAATGACCAGCAGGGGGTCACTTCACTGGCTGCAAAAAGAAAACAGACGAGGATTTTACCTCATCTCTTGGTTGATTTATACCTCAGTAAATATTTATACAATATCATATTTTCTAATTGGTTTTATGGTCTCAATCACTGGTTTCAAGTCGTGTCAGTGCAGCAGCATGATGCCGCATTTCCTCCCTGTTGTCCAAATATGATTACTTCCAGCTCCACAAAACAAAACAAAAACAAGGAAGCACTGACCGAAATCCCAACGTCAATGCTCCAAAATTAAAGTCCACTAACCACTGGGTGATGCCACAATGCAAAGGTCCACTTTCTATATGACTTCATGAGCAAAACTCCCATCATAGTGCCCCCCAAAAAATGCATGCGTGATGAGTCTGCTCAAAATGATTTGTTGTATTTCAGCTTGATTTTTTTTTTCCAAAACCAAAGTTGTTGTTTTTTTTGTTAAAAAAAAATACAAAGTTTATTTGAAGCTTTTGACAAAATCTTTTTTAAAGCAAACGTTCAGCCAAAAAGCCAATTAATGTGATTAAATTGAATTGATTGAGTCAGTTACCTTTTGGTTTTGTGTGGATGTACTTCAAAACATCTACTCTTGTTGTTCTGTGGTTGTTCCACATTAACTTCTCCACTTATTGTGCAGCAGGTGTCACAAAGGGAGCTCAGTAAAAAGAAACACTTACAGTTATTTTACAACTTCAACTCACCCTCATGCATCTGTTTGACTATCAAAATACCCTATATGCCCTTATGTATCATGCCTTTTGCCTGTATGGGGATATTTGACCAAGGGTAAAAAAAAAAAATCAGCTGATGATGCCAGGCAGAGGGTCTTCAAATGATCATGTGAATGAAAAGAAAAGTAATTGTCCAACAACAACAAAAAACCTCAGAGAAAATAGATCACTCAGCTCACTTCCACCTGTTAATCACAACAGAGAACACAGGGTGACAGTTCCTCAGATTATATGAAGATAATCCGGCCAAGTGCGCACAAACACTCACTTACCTCCACGACAGCCGTTGTATCCTGGATAGTGTGGAAGAAACTAGAAGCCAGTCTCTATTAATCAACTATATCCATGCACGTAGACATAACGTCTCCTCTTCACTGCTTGACTTTACTGATAATTAAAATACTTTTTACAGTAACTTTGAGTGGCCGTAAGAGACGCAGCAGAGGCGCACAGCCGATTTACTGCAGCAGCGTAAAGTCCGGATATACGAGAAAAACTGTGACGTTTTTAGATGATAAATATCTAAATAAAACTCAGGACAGTTTCCTCTTGAGCTTAGACAAACCTCCAGTGTTCACAGAAGAGTTAAAATCTGTAATCCTCCGACACCGGCTGGGAGGAGCTGTGAATAACACTGCAAAAAATACTCGATCACAGCAGACTTTAGCACAGTACAAGGGGAACTTTTTATAGTGTGAAACAGAACTAGAGCTGCTATGAGGAACTACATATCTACATTCAACTGTCTCTTATGAACAGGTTATGCTGCAGGTAAATACGGTGGCCCGAAGGTCAAGTACAATATGAAATAATGAAAAAAAATTGAAAAACTTAAAGGGGGAAAAATTGACAGAGCGATAAAGAACATTTCATGAACTACCCCAAAAAATAATGAATTGCAAAAATATTTTTTTATGTTTCATAAAATATTTTTGCGCTTTAACAATTTTTGTTTGCGTTTTATGAAACTTCTTGTTTTTGCAGTTGACCATCAGGTCTTCAGGTCTAATAAAAATGTCCATATCACTTTTTGACAAAGCACCACTATTTATTGTCTTCCCGCCAACACATTCTGTACAGTTGTACATAAATGTGTAACCTTCATTTGACCTTGCATGATTGTTTTACTTCTAAACTTCCTGTATTCCTACTAACCATATCTCTGTTAATTTATAAATGCATGGAGCAATGTTTAACGGAGTCAAACCCGTGGTGGCACACATAGAGCCTACCTGGCTTTTAAATCTGATTCTGACGAACACAGTAAACATTAACCCACTGACCTGACAATGAGGACGGTCAGGTCACCTCACCCCATTGCTAAAGGTTAGCGTCTCACAACGTCTCAATAATTTGAGAAGCAATGGCATGGAGAGTTATTTCCTCTCACACATGCACAGAACATACGTGGTGGTTGGCCATCTGTAGGCTTTGCAGTATGTTCAAGTGCAACTTTTTGGCCAAGACGTGAGTCGACGCCACAGGCGGCCTTCGTCGCCTCTAGTTCTTTGCCGTCTGCTTGGTGTGTCAGGGTCTTTAAAGGGCTTTTGGAGCCAGCCTCAAGTGGACACTCAAGGAACTGCAGGTTTTTACCCTTCCACATTGGCCTTATTTTTCAGCACTGGAGATGCAGTTTAGTAATTTAGAGTAATTTAGAGTCCTTTACAAGTCAATAGCTCCCTTCACCTAATGAAATGCCGTTTTAACAAAGTCATAATCTGTTACAATTATTGTGATTATCTCCCGTCATGATGGCTGCTGCTGTCCATCATTTCGATCTCTGATCTGACACTTTGCATTGTGGGAAACATTATGCGTGTAAGATGCATACTGTAGATTTTTCCCGAATCAGTATACATCCAGGTATTTTTGGCATACTGAAGATTTACATTTGCCTGCAAACTGCATTTTGGTCAAATCAGTACTTACTACTACTGTAACATATAGGCAGTTTCAAAAACAGCCAAAGTGTCAAGAGATTCAAGTAACCACCTTATTTTACTCCATAATCTATTTTCAGACATCCATGAAGACCCAATACTTCTTCTAGGCCCACTAGTCAACAGTCAGTTTCACTTTGTCTGCAGACATAAATCTTCAGCCAGTGGGTGAGAAGACAGAAATAGATTCATTAAACTCTCTGTGGGGGGTCTGAAGTCACTAAGGAGACCTGACCTCGTCTCTGGAAAATGTTTGTGTTTCCTGGAATTCAACTACAGAACTGAAGGTGGTGAGGAAGATGAAGCACCTGACTCTGAGGGAGTGTCTCTATACCCTTTAAGACTAATTATCCCACCTCGTTTGTATCTTAAATCAAAGTTACATTTATTGTCTGGTGTATCTTAAAAGGAGCTCTGATGACAGTCTTTCATAACTACACTATACCTCCCCGACATTATCCTACTGCTTTCAATGAGTGGTCAGAAAATGTTCTGAACACTGAAACAAAAAAAAACACTGAAGCATGCTAGATCCATGATTTTTTTCCTTGTTTACTTTTGAAAATCATGAATAGGAAATCTCCTGCCTGTGTGACAGTGTTGAGAGAAAGGGTTCAGTTTGCTGCTTTAAGTTGCTTTATTGTATCCTTTATCCTGTTGTTAAAGTCATAATAGTATGTCTGCATCTCAGAGGATACTTGAAAAATATATTTAAAATATATATCTGAATAAATTGTTCCCCAAAAATAGTCCAAGAAAAGTGTCAAATCTTCTTTTTTTGAATCCCAATGGAGTCCGAACCAGACATTTTTCCCACTCCTCTAATGTTGAGCCACTACAGGCTATTTAGGCGTTTGAAACTATTGTTGTGATGTTTATGTAGCCTCACACATGACACCACAACCACTCAGGAGGCCGTGCATTAGCAACACCTGGCAAACAGGTAGAGCAGATGAGTAACATCTTGTAGGAGATCTATTCCAGGCCCAGTGCTGAGAGATTAACCCTTGGCTTTGGATAATTACGTCAGATCCCTTTAATCCCAAACAATTTAGCAGCAGCAGTGAAGGTCCCTCCACAAGACGTTCGGTCAGAGATGCAATGCATGCTGGTCCTGTGATGGTGTGTTTGAGGATAAGACAAAAGTCAGGAGTAAGACGTGAGGGAAGAGGCATCATTAGAAAAACTCCCCTAGAGTCAACTTTATTTAAGATAAAAAATAGAAGAGTGACAAAAGAAATATGAATAAAATGCAATCACATAGAATCACCAGGAGTTTACACAACTAAAAAATACTCAGTTTCTAAAGTATTAAAGGAGACACTCATTGAAACAATATAATCAAACACATTATATCATGAGTAAAATAAATTAAAAGGCCGCCATGTTGATTATAGTTACAGAAACCTTGTCTGGTGTTAGTACCAGTAATTAAAAGTCAAAGCTTCGTGGCCTCTTGTTTTTATTGTCAGCTCTCTGGCGACCTCTAGTGGTCACACTGCTTAGCTGTAGGTTTGTATTTCAGCCAGAAGAGGGCGCCTGCACACACTTTGCTTTCAGCCTCACTTTTCTTCACTCTGTGTTTAAGGATAGCAAACATCAAAATGTAACCATGGAGATGATGTATAATGAATTTGTTAATCTGAAATAGAATATTTCCCTTTAAATACGAAGAAGAAGCCTTGACCTTTTGGGAATGAACTGAAGTTTGACGACACTAAATCAAAACTGTTGGCCTTAAAAAAGGTTGATGGCCTCTTGTTTTTATTGTCAGCTCTCTGGCGACCTCTAGTGGTCACAGTGCTTATACCTGTAGGTGCGTATGTCATCCAGTAGAGGGCGCCTGCGCCTCCGTTTACGGATAGCAAACATCGAAATGTGACCATGGAAATGATGCAAAATGAATCCGTTAATCTGAAATAAAACAGGAAAAGCCTGATCTGAGTTATCAACTGAAATGTTATAATACTGATTGGTTAACTGTATGTTCCATCTCATAAATCATTAACTCTGAAATCAATCTGATCAGCGTTTTACATTTTAGGAAGAAAGTTTGCACATAGATTTTGAATTTTAAAAATTTAAAATTGAAATTTATTTAAAAAATTGTTTTTATGTTTTATTCATTTATTATGAAAACCTTCAACAAAAATTTGTAAAAAATATTTTTTACATAAGGGAAGTAAACGTAATACTAACAGGTTAACATAATATTGTTTTTATCATAGTTTAATACTATGTTTCGGTAGTGACAAATTTGGGGAGAGGAAATACATTCCAAAAAATACAATATCAAATTTGAAGATTATTTTACTAGATATGTGTACTTTAGATATGGTACAATATATATAGAGGAAAAAAATTGGGAATAAAACTTAAACAATTTCAAAATATTTCCAACCTGACTTTGAACCAATTCAGTAGAATGGCCCATATATGAATGACGCAGTTTTGTGCATGAGGCAAAATTGGATCTTTTGATGAATCAAAACTGTTGTCTTAGAGTTGAGCTTCAATGCAGGTAAGCAATGCCCAGGTGAGCTATGAGACCCTTTGTGCTAAACATCCAGCCATACCTTTTTTTTAAATATATATATAATTAAACAACCTCATCCTCACTGAAATGAAACATTAATAATGTGATCACAACACAAACTAAAAGTTCCTCACAGGAGCTTTAACTGACCTTGTACTGAAGATGCATGTAAAGAGAGAGAGTCATGTTTGGCAGAAAGACAACAGCAGTCTACATGATCGCTGCATTAACATTTTCAGATTGTTTAACAACAGCTGCTCTGATTTAATAACCAGCTCTGGAGAACAGAGGCAGTGTTACACCGGACACACATCCTGCTGTCTGACCCACTTCCAAACACAGAGCTGCTCCCCGGCAGGAGGAGGATTTACGCACAACACCAGGAAGAGGAGAGGAAGCATTCATGGGAAAAAAGTGAGACCACTCAGTTCCCATACACTCCAGATTTACACACAATGTACTGACTGTACTGATTTATAATGGAGGAATGTAAATCATGTTTCTGATACTGAATATGTGCAAAAGTTACAAAACCACCAAATCAAACTGAGGGGGCTCCCTGTCTGTCTGTCTTTTGTGTTTTAAGATTTGTTTGGGCTTTTTTATGCCTTTATTGGAGAGATAGGACAGTGGATAAGAGTCAGATTAGAGAGAGAGAGTGAGAGGGGGGGAATGACATGTGGGAAAGAAGCCACAGGTTGGAATCAAACCCTGTGCCATCGTGCCGTTTGTTTGGAGGTGTTTTGTTTTATGTCTTGCAATCAAAAAGAGTCTCTGTATGTTTGCCAACAAAGGATTTAATAACTCAACTGAAGTTGAAAAATCGGCTCACAGTTAACTACATATCAAACCATATCTGATGCCAAGTTTAGCACATTTTATCCATAGGGTGTTAAATCTTGTATCTTCTTCAGCTATGCCCACACTATTTGTTATGTAACATTAACATACCTAGTCACGTAGCTTTAAATTGTGTGTTTTTGTTTTTTAAGTTGCATTCTGGGAATTTCTGGATCCAGTGACTTTAAAGGTTGACAGTGAACGAGGACTTCAAGTCAGGAAGTGTGATCCACTGCTGCTTTAAATTAAGTTATTACTGAGTATGGGGGGGCTCCTTTTTAAA